TATTATATTTTTTCCTTACATAGGGGGACATTTCAAAAGAAGCATTAAGTAGGGGGGTAATGGAAAAGTCAAAAATTGGATCAATACAATATTTCAATTCTTAATTCATCATTATAAAGTTTAAGAAGGATCGTAAATTTTTTTTACGGTGGATCGTGTTTTTTACTATAAATAAGCCAATTTCTTCCCTTGAAATCTTTACTAAACCTTCCTATTTTCAGGAAAAACTATACACACTTGATTTTTACTGCAGACCTATGCACTCAAAGTCACTATATGAAGGGAACAGAGGGAGTTATTCCACTTGCTTCCCCTCATGTGTCCCTGACGAATCGATTAAGATCGTGGATTTCGTATTCTAATATTGGCATGTTTCTAACTAAGCATTCCTTCCAATTTCATTTAACGTCTTCTCTCTTTGTCTTAGCTTCTCTCTTTATTAGTCCCCTTAGCTTAACTGGCTGTCTGGACGAGAACGGCAACCCAACCATCTCCACTGAAAAAACTAACCGCCTCCCTTCCTCCCCCTCTCCCTCCCCCCCCCCGAAAAAAAACAGAAAAAAAAACGCACCATATTTAACACCTTTCTCATGAATCGACACTTCTGTTTGTATGCGATCCTGCTGATAGTTTGTCTGGTGTTTTCCTTCTCGACCGTGAAGGCGCGCATCCCATCCTCGCGGTCGTCCCCTGGGGCTTCGGGGGATCGCGAGGGGGTGGATTACTACAAGGTGCTCCTGCTCGACGACAAACGCGAGGCCGCGACGGAGGCCGAGATCAAGCAGAGCTTTCGCCGGCTTTCCATGCAGTACCACCCCGACGTCGCGAAGACGGCGCAGGACCGACTTCGGTATGGTGAAATCAACCACGCCTATGAGGTGCTTTCGAATCGGCGAAAACGCAAGATGTACGACCTACGTGGCGAGGCGGGGCTTGAGCAACTCAAGCAGGCATCCGCCGCGGGGGAGCGTGGGGGGGGGATGAATCCCTTTGCGCATCTCTTCGGCCTCGGATCGGGCCATTCCCTTTACGGACCTAAGCAGGAGACCGTTCTGGAGGTCGACCTGTCCGTGCTCTTCACCGGTGGGGTGGGGGTCGTCCATCGCGAGAAGCAGGTCGTGTGCACGCGGTGCAAGGGCAGTGGGGATGATTTAACATCCCCTATTCTCCTCTGCCAGCACTGTCAAGGGCATGGGGTGGTGGAGCAGCGACTGATTTTGGGGCCGGGGATGTACCAGGACATCCGACAGGTCTGTCCTCACTGTGAGGGGAATGGGAAGAAAGCACTGCGGCGCTGTCCGGTTTGTCGTGGTCGAAAAGTAGCCCCCCAAAAGGTGGACTTGAAGGTGGATATCGAGGCCGGGACGCCGGAAAATCACCCGATTGTGTTCGAAATGGAAGCGGATGAATCGCCCGACCTTATCCCGGGTGACTTCGTCGTGCGTGTTCGCTCTCGGCCGCATCCTCAGTTTACACGGATGCGGAATGACCTTGATCTGGAGATGTCCTTATCGATCAGTCTGAAAGAGGCTCTTTTGGGAGTTTCAAGAGAGTTTAAAAATTTAGACGGCAAAGAGATGGTTAAATTAAGTAGGCCAAATATCACTCCATACGATACTGTAATTAAGATACCTGGAAAGGGAATGCCCCAACTACACCTGCCGTCAGAGCGAGGGGATCTATATGTGAAGATGAAATTCATGATGCCCTCCTCCCTGTCTACAAAGCAAAGAGAGACGTTTGAAAAATGTCTTTGAAAGTATGAAAAGAATACTTGTTGCTATTCTTGATTTGCGGAGGAATCAAAGAATGGGGTGTGTGAGTAAGCAGTCGAATATGACGATGAATGTTGATCTTCTAAGTAAACGAATAAGGGTACTGATAGCAGTGTAGTCTCCAAGGGAAATCAATTTCTAAAGGGACTCATCCAAATTATAGAGAAGTTTCAACTTTAGTTGGTATTTTGGCATTTTGCATGTAAAAACTCCTTTCTTTTCTTTTTTGAAAAGAATAGTTGTCTTTCTCAATTCAGAAATAGTTTACCGTTTACTCGTCAACGTTTTTCGTTCCATGCACATTACACTTTTCCTTTAAAAAGAGTCCTGTACATATATGGAACGGTAAGGAAAAAGCTAAGAAAGAAGCATGCGCAATTTATGATAATTATGGTCTTTTGTAAACATTGAGCTTGGATGCGTTTTTCATCTGTTATTGGTAACCGTTAGATACTTAAATGTCGATGAATTTGTTACAGAATCACATAATGCGTTGCTAATCGATTATTCTTTTCATCTCCCCCCTCAATAATAATAATAATATTCATATTATATCACCAATTCCGTTGGAAAAGGTTAAACATTTTTTATATTTACGAATCTAAAACCCAAGTCATGTTTTGTCGCACCGTTTCCAAGCTTTCATCCTATGATATCGCTGTGATCGGAGGGGGACCGGGGGGTTATGTCGCCTCGATCAAAGCCGCACAGTTGGGCCTGAAGACTGTTTGTATTGAAAAACGCGGCAGCCTCGGGGGGACTTGTTTGAATATTGGCTGCATCCCTTCCAAGGCTCTTCTCCACGCGACCCATCTCTACCACGACGCCCACACGAACTTTGCCAAGTACGGCCTCAGGGGCGGGGAAAAGGTAACGATGGACATCACTGCGATGCAAAAGCAAAAGGACATCTCCGTAAAGGGCCTCACCGGGGGAGTGGAGTACCTCTTCAAGAAAAACAAGGTGAGCTACATCAAGGGGGAGGCAAGCTTTGTGGAAGCGAATGAGTTGAAAATAAAAGGGCTGGACGGGAATGACCAGACCCTGAAAGTCGGCAAGACGATCATTGCTACCGGGAGTGAGCCGATGGCGTTGCCTTTTCTTCCGTTTGATGAGAAGGTGGTGTTGTCCTCCACGGGGGCCCTCAGTCTGCCCACAATTCCAAAAAAGATGATTGTGGTGGGAGGGGGGGTGATCGGACTGGAGCTCGGGAGTGTCTGGGCTCGCCTCGGGACGGAGGTCACCGTGGTAGAGCTCGGCGCCCGCTGCGCGGTGACCGTGGATCCAGATGTCTCGAAGGTCCTCACGGACTACCTTGCAAAGCATGAAAAGATGAAATTCCTGAACGAGACCAAAGTTGTGGGGGGGAAGCGCGGCTCCAAAGGCGTCAGCATCGAGGTGGAGGCCAAGAACGGTAAGCGGAAGACCTTGGATGCGGATGTGATCCTATGCTCGATCGGTCGCCGACCCTACACAGAGGGTCTGAATACCGAGGCCATCAACCTGAAGCTCGAGCGCGGCTTTGTGAATATTAATGACCACTTCGAGACGAACGTGCCGAATGTGTTCGCCATCGGGGACGTGGTGAAGAAGGGCCCAATGTTGGCTCACAAGGCCGAGGACGAGGGGGTCGCGCTCGCCGAGCAGCTCGCTGGGAAACCAAGCCACGTGAACTACGATGCCATTCCGAGTGTTATTTACACCATGCCTGAGGTCGCACAAGTAGGGAAGACGGAGGAAGAGGTTAAGAAGGCGAATATCGAGTACAAGGTTGGGAAGTTTCCCTTCACGGCCAACTCGCGTGCCAAGGCCATCGCCATAGAGGACGGTTTTGTGAAAGTGATAACAGACAAAAAGACGGATCGGATATTAGGAGTCCAGATTGTGTGTAGTGCTGCAGGTGAGATCATTGGCGAGACTGTACTCGCAATGGAGTACGGCGCGAGCTCAGAAGATGTTGGCCGAACTTGCCATGCTCACCCCACGATGTCTGAGGCTATAAAGGAGGCGTGCATGGCCTGCTATGCCCAAACAATTAACTTTTAATGTATCAAACATTAGAGAAGGTGTTATCATATTTGAATGAAAGAGAATTTAAGAAAAAATGTATGAAGCACCATTTAATTAAGTATAAAAAAAAAGTGGTCTTAAATAATATTTGATATATCTATATATACTGTATATCTAAATTGCCGAAATTTATTATATTTAAGTTAACTCAGTGATATCTTGAAAATTTTACTGTTTTAATTTCAAATTTTCAATGTATTTTGGATGCAGTTGTGTCCGTAGGTAGGTTAAATAAAAGCAGTTTGATTAAATCTTTTTTGTGGCGGGGTTTCATGTATGACAGATGACATATTAATAACATTGAATTGCACATAGTAGTGGCCATTTTAGTAAAATTCCGAGAGTATAGAAGAAAAAAGGTGTTAGCCTATATATTTGAAACATGAACCTAAAAAATGTCTTTTGATGTTATCTAATTTATAACCCCCCCAAAACATGAAATAAAATTACAGGGGCTGAGCTTCTTCTTGATTTGTCTATGTAGGTTGGGTACCACCGCGTGGGTTTTTGCTCATGCAGATAAAGCGCTATTTCATTTCTTAGATATATTCTTTTACTTAGGAAAGATGAGACTTGCTTCACTAAGTGTAATGAAAGAGTAAGTGGCATCTGTAACTTTATTTAAAGCTTTTTGTTTTGCAATAGGCATAAAAGCAATCCTTCTTTATGACTGTGTAATACAACACTATGGCTGAATAAAAGATCCACATATCTTCTATTGATTCAGAGGCAATGACATTCTTGGGGTTTCACTACGGAATGCACTACAGAGTTTCGTGACGGTGCAAGAAGCCACCTTACCTATGGTGTCAGTGTAAAACAAGGGAGACCTTCAAGTAAACTTTGTAGGATCACGTTTACTTTAACTTTATACAGCTCAGGGCTTATTAACTAAGTATTATCGTTAAATAACATTTTCCCCAGCTTAGGACAAGTGCTTTTTGGTTTAGTCTTTATCTAAATATTCTGTTATACAGTGCTCCATATAATATAGGACCTACACTTAGCATTGTCAATCGATAGAGTTGCCCATGCGTTGGATCACCTTGTGGGATTATACACAAGAAAGACACATCAAAGAGATCACACTTGTATTCAACACAACCTCAACGTGTCAAGCACAAGATAGTGCAGGAGCATTCAAGACTTCTTGAAGTAAAACAATGCTTTCCATTTATTTTGTACAGTGAGGAGTGATGATAAGGTTTTCTGCATTTTCTTTTTAGTTTTTGTTATGTGTTTATATTTTGTAGCACGATACTTTAACAAATTTCTTTATAATTCCAAATCGTAAATGATTTCTTTTATTCCTTTTTTCTGTGTACATTAATTTACGTATTTTGGACGAGAGGTATCGATTCATAGTTTTTTTTTTAAATTTCCTACTGTTACAGTTACACACGTCATTGCTACTTTTTCGGAAAATAATAAATTCAAAAAGGTGACCTATGACTGCACATTAGAAATAATATTCTTAGTTTTTATGCATTTTGTCGATGAAAAGTAGAGAAGAGCCAATAATTCATGCTACACCATGTTATTTTAACATGAGTCTACATTTTTTTATGTATGTATTACAACTTTTTTTTCTTTTAATTCCTAGCTTCTTATTCTAAAGGGGTTAATTAGACTATATAATATCTTTTATACCCACGATTCTCTTTATTTTGCCTCTATGGGGGGGGGGGAGGGGGGGAATCAACAATATCAACCAAGAAGGAAAGACAGCATTGATAAGAGGAAGAGTAAATCTCACTGAGTTATATGAAAATTTTGGATTCTAGCTCTACACTTGATTCATTTTCAAATGACATGAAGGACTTATCAAGGCAATGTCAAGAGTATGCTATTAATGCTCAGAACTTGTATTTGAGCACAGACCGGCTCTCCTGTACTATTTTGACATCTTCTAATCGTTTTGTATCGTATGGCCGATGGCTTAGTACACTGGCAGTGGCATCGGGAGCTGTGTTTGGTTTCACTTGTTATTATCAACACGCTCGCCTGCACCGTGTTTGGCGAATTCGGAATCCCACAATAGTGTTGCGCTATCGTTTTGCGAGCTGGCTGAGTGGAGGTATTTTTATATCTACGATTTTGTTTATGATCAGCCCCCTTGGGCCGATGCACTCGCGTCGAATGGAAATGGAGAAATCAATAGCATTAGATTCACTTGCAGTGAAGGCACTTGAGTTAAAGCAAGCTTTTTCCACACTTCGGGTGTGGTACCTTTGCCGCGCATCTTGTGCACATGACCACCTACATTCCAAAGAATCTGACAAGGAAATATCATCCCAACTGAAAAGCTGTTCATCACTCAATGACTCTGTGTGGGGGCGCATTATAATTCCGAAGCTGAGTAATTCTCTAGTTCCACGTGAAGGACGGACTAAAAAATCGAGTGAAGAGGACAACGCCAGAATATTGACCCCTCCCAGCTCAAACGAAAGCGATGGTGGCAAGTGTGTAGAGAGCGGACACACTGGCAAATTGTTTCTGACACGTGCTAATCAAACGTTATTAGTACCACAGGATGGACTTCCACATGAGTCGCCTTTTCTGTCTAGTTTACGCGAAAAGGGGGACAACGAATTGGATATCACTCATATGTCTTCCTTTTCGAATCATTCCATAACTAATGAGGTTCATGGTAACCTGAAAACAGTACCTGACAGATCGCATTGCTTAGGGAATGTTACAAAGGCAAGAGATAGTATCGTCCTCACAACAGCAGGCTGCTTAAAAAATTCTGATCCAAGGTATCCGCTGGAGGAAAAGAGAGCTTATGATGGGATTGAGTCAGATGAAGAGCTTAAGAAAGCGTTTGAAGCATGCCGTCAAGTGTGGGAAGACCTACAGAATACCTGCAGACATCTTTCTTCCGAAGATGTAAAGTGAAAGAGAAAACCTCCCAAATGGCATTCCATCAGCTTCCATTTTTTCCGAATTGAGGTTTTTTTAATGAGCTTTAATTCTAACGATGTACCTGCAAACTTTTTTTTCCATTCCAAAGAGATTCCGTAGGTAAATTATGTGGCATCTTTTGTTTATCTATACAGATCAGGTTTGGTATGTGATAACTGCTTAGACTATCATTGAGTGTTATAATCTTGGTACGAAACTCGAATAAAATCACTGTATGAACACAGATAGGCGCGCAGCGTAACTGCTATTTTACGAGATGCCTCCAATGCGAAAGCTAAATCAGACGCTATTTCGTCCGAGCGTTTCTTTGCTTGATTCCTTTCCGATCGCAACAATTTTAGCCCTTTGAAAGAAATTCGTATTTCATAGCATTCGTTCCAGAATAGCCAATAGCAGATTTCCACGTTGATCTCACAGACGATGAACTGTAAAAAAATGTTTTATTTAGTTCATAATGTATTTCAGTGCAGAGACTGGCTTCAGTTTAGGCATCATCCAGGTTCATCCCTTTATTGTTTTAAATTCCCTTTGTCTTTGAATGTGTGTGTGCCGGTTAATATAGGACGTTTCCATTTTACCTACCTTTGAATTAGGTACGTCTGTTCTTTTCTTTAAGGTGATGGTATGGAATCTGATCGGTTGATTGACTTTGTAGGTTTACACCAAAACTTTTTCACATCCTCATTCAGTGATCTATGAATGGTCTGCGTGCATCTTTTTTCCCTAGAACCCTACAACCTGTGCAACTATGAGGGGTGCGACCATGATATAACGACGTCTAATTGAAGAAAACATGACGTCACCTGGGTTGAATGGCTGCCGGAAAATGACAGGGTGCCCCACCTCTGATCGCGCGGGCATGGGGTTCTGGAGGTGGAGTTGTGAGCTTTCCTGTTCGTATGACTAAGTCAGAGAGGGATATGGGGCTTTATGGCAGTTGAGGGAAGGGAAGGAGGGATGGCTCTTTTCCTACTTTTTTATTGGCGCCTCATTACCGCCTGCGGTGAGCGAGATGTGACATGCACGTGAGAGGGAATTGGCTTAAGAGAGAGAGAGCCACGGGAGCACAGTTAGGCTTCTCTGTAATGACACAACGCGCAACTTGATTGCTATATGTCTCTGTGTAAAGGTTGCTGTCTACAAAGGTGCGCATATGAGCACAATTAAGGAGGAATTTTTAATGGATTCTTGTCATGTGAAATTCCTTTAATACAACAAGGCGTGTTTTTCGAATTCTGTAAAATTTATCTGGCTGATTCCCATACAAATATACTTTACTATTCCATTAAACCTTTTCATCACCAATAATTTTGTGAAGGCTTCTTCGATTAAAAAAAGATACTTAACAAACCTACAGCAGATATAAACACAATACAAACTTAATAGTATCAACTTCTGCGCTGCTCTGCATCCATCGCTATATTTTTATCAGTTTTCTTACCTAATTGGATGGCCTTGCCGGGAGACCGACCGTCCCGTGGGACAATCACCTTATTAATATGTTTTGCTTACTTTTTACTCCTTGCCTTCGGAATTTCCACAACAGTTTGTTCAGATGACAATTATATGGTAAAAATATGGATCAACGGCACTGCAGCGTTATGGAATGACATAAACAAGACGATTGTTTGCGAAGCTCTGAAGAGTGATGCGGGTTATAAAGATTTGGAATTTACTGAAGATTGTATCGCAATTGCTCACACTGCCACAAATTATAAAAATCTGGGCTCCTATCCTATCAAGTCTGATGGTATTGGTCTCGACGTAGAGATAAAATTAAATAACCCAACGTTGTTAGGAATAGAAATACTCAATAAACTTTCCACTTCTGCTTTACCTAACCTGAATAAAAAAGTGATGACCGTCTTTGGACAGCAAGTTAAGGCGTTCCCTTTCATGTGGACCACAGAACTCTTTATAGACAACACCACGATTGGCATTAGTCAGCCTACCAAATTGTGGGAGTTGTACTTGCGTATCTCAATGCCATTGATATCAACGGAAAGTGTGTTTCATGAACCAGAAGAGGTCTTGAAATATATGCCGAT